CAGCCTGGGCACAATTCACAGGTACGAATGGAGCCCACTTAACCAACCCTAATCTATTCTGGGAAATTGGGAAAGCGTTCCTCAGTGTGCGCATAATTTCTTATACCACACAATTTAAAAAACTATCCCATTTTCAATACCAACAGGCTAGTGAATCTCTTCGTCAAGCACATATCACGCTCTCCCTCAATCGCACTTCAGCGAACAAACTGACCTGGCAATATGCTACATGAGCCTTTGATTATTGGGATGAACACCAGCAGGCAGCCAATTCGGCCTACTCCACCCTGAAATTCTATAGCTATGGCAACAAGGTCATATCTATATGCCAGTACAGCTCTGTGCGGGCCCCCATGCTCCTACTAATATTTCCACCCTGCGGTCTCCCCACCAGAAATCTTCTCAAGATACCCTCTGATATTAGCATGCTTCTCACATCTTATTACACTTCTCTGTATTCAGAGGACCCGATTGATGCTAAGGCCTCTGAAGACTTGTTAGCCACCGTACACCTGCCATGCATTCAATGCTCCCATCATGTTGGACGACATTCGTGCCACTATCAAAAATCTACCCTCTGCTAAGGCTCTGCCTTGATGGCCTTAGTGCTGAGTTCTATAAACTAACTGCAGACTTCATCCCAGACACCTTGCATCATGTCTACAAGGCAATGTGGGAGGATGGCCCTTATCTCCCAACTGGATCCCAAGCACATATCAAACTCATAGCTAAAAAGGGGAAAGACCCACTGCTGCCAGGATCTTACCGACCTATCTCTCTAATCTATCTCGATGCCAAAATACTATCAAAAATTGTAGCGGCCAGGCTGGCCTTGCTGCTCCCTACCATATTACATCAGGCCCAATCTGATTTCGTACTGGGAATATCAGCAATGCTTAATATCTGCAAAGTGCTGTTGGCCCTAGAATATGCTAAAACCCACCCAATGCATGATCTGCCACTCATATCCTTGGATGCTCGAAAAAGCCTTTGACAACATTAGTTTCAACTGGCTCTTCATGGTCATGCAGACGTTTGGTATTTTGGGTCCCATTTTAGATTTTTTACGACAAATGTTCTCTTCATCCACAGCTAGACTGGTAACACCTGACTTTATGTCCACTGACATTTCCCTGACGAAGGGTACAAGGCAGGGCTGCCCACTTTCACTCCTTCTCTTTTACATTGCTTTAGAACCTTTATCCAGACTACCTAATTTAGTAGCGGGGTAAGTGGTGTCACGATTGGCTCACACACTTTTCGTTCAGCTTTATTTGCGAGCGATATATTATTGTTTTCCTCAGATCCACCCTCAGATTTTAGATTACTCCAGAACGTATTCGCGACCTTCCGTAGCTGCTAGGGCTTTTGAATCAATTTTTATAAGAGTGAATTTCCTCTAAACCCTACTACCTTGATTCGCTGGCTCACGTCTTCCCCTTTTTGTATAGCTAAACACTCAATTACCTATTTAGGCATACACATTGGCAGAGAACCATCGTCTCTCTATTACCTTAATTACCCTCCTCTAATCAATAAGATTGTGCAGGAATTGGAGGCTTGGCTGACCCTCCCCCTCTCACTCTTTGGGAGATGCCATCTCTTCAAAATGGTCTCATTTGCGAGATTGCTATACCCTCTACAAACACTTCCTATTTTGCTAAAGCATTCTGATGTACAAAAGATTCATACGGCTCTATACGCCTTTCTATGGAAACGCAAAAAAACATATATTGCATCACAGAAGCTACGTCTCCCCAGGAGTGAGGGCATTGCAGTCCTGCCTCCTTAGCTAGGGTCTCGACGCAGCATTTACCCATTGGTCGCATAATGGACTTATTAATGTCATATCTGTCTTTGATGATACCAAGCGATCTTTTCAATTCTTCTCTGTTTTAGCTTCTCAGTACTCTCTACCAGGATCCCATATCTTCCACCATGATCAGCTGGTGACCTATCTCCGGTCCTGCTATTCCCCTAAACAGGATCCCTTCCAACGCTCCTTCATAGAGACACCGCTTCAGCAAGACCACTACACCATTTCGGACATCTACCGTCATCTAATCTGTCACCAATCTGCAAACTACCACCTTACTCCCTTTAAACCTTGGACCCCCATACTTTCTACCGACAATACTCCAGAAAAAATAATGTCGGGATACAGGAAAATTGTTTCACTTGTTCTCTGCAAAACATGGCGCGAAACTCAATTCAAACTCATCCACCGGGCCTATTATCCTTTCTCCACAAACTTGGCAGTTGCTGCCTGCCCAACATGCCCTTGGTGTGATCACAACCAACCGACCTTGTTCCATCACTTGTGGAATGTGCTTGAGTTTCATCTTTCTGGGACCAAATTTTTCATTACATCAATCAACTATACAACATCTCTGTCTCCAAAGATCCCATGATTTGTGTCTTTAGCTATGGAGAGCCTACAACTTTGGCACATCCCACCGCTTTCCCCCAGCGGTAGTCCGCAGAGCCCTCTTGCAAGCCTAGATACATGCAAACCCCCCACCTCTAAAAATGGTGACACAGGCGCTAACTAACCTTTTCAACCTGGAAAAGCTTGACACCATCACCCAAAACTTTAATTCCACTCGTCGTTTCATCTCAAGATGGAGATGCTACATGGAGAATTCCTTTTCGCCTGCTGAATTAGCCATTCATGTGGAACCCTTCTGCTATACAGACTGGTATCTCAAAGCTCAACACGTTGGGTAAACTCCAAATGACCAACTCACTCTCTAGCCCCACCCCCCATTTATCCTCCTCCCCGACTCTCCGTGGAGTACATACTTCGCACTAAGTTATACCTAGCCCACATGGTAATCCTTCTACAGTGTTTTATCAGATAGAGAAGTATTTCTGTTCAGGCTACTGCAACCAAGCCTACTGCAACCAAGCTTCCATTCCCAGGGAATTGATTAACTTGAAGGTCCGGCTTTCTCTACTGCCATGTTATACCTTACATACCTATTTCTAACAATGTTTCTTTTACACTGTATTTGTTGTACAGGCTTTTGTACTCCTAGTCTTACAAATACTTTTGGCTGATAGGTTTTTATATCGAGATTGTATTCTTGTATTTACCTTGCAAAAATTCAATAAGCATTTATTTAAAAAAAAAAGATAGAGCCAACACCTGGCTACATTTTGAGAGAAACCTGCAATGAAGAAGTATGCTTTCTGCCATTGCTGACCTCTTTGGCTGTATTGCTAACCAGTGGCCATAATAATTTCTCAGTCACTGAGTCCCTGGCCTGGAACAGATTAGGAGTTCTGTCTTCACTCTGCTTATTAACCACTTGCCCTCCAGAGGATTTACCCCCCTTCCTGACCAGGCCATTTTCTGTTATGACACTGCGTTACTTTAACTGACAATTGTCATGCAGTGCTGCACCCACATGAAGTTATGTCCCCACGAATTGAGCTGTCTTTCGTTGGTATTTGATTGCCTGTGCGTTTTTTATTTTTTGCGCTATAAAAAAAAAACCAAAACAATAATTTTGAGTAAAAAATATTTTTTACTTTTTGCTATTAAACATATCCAGTAAAAAAATAAAAAAAAAAATCAAATTTCATCATAAATTTAGGCCAAAATGTATTCTGCGACATGTCTTTGCTAAAGAAAATCCTAATACGTGTACATTAAATGGTTTACGTGAAAGTTTACAAATGGTGGTATATATACTGGAATAATTTTTTATTTTTTTTACTAATAATGGCGGCGATCAGCAACTTATAGTTGGACTTGCGCATGCCCCCTACCCGGACATGTAAAATCACATATACATACGTGATTTTGTGCACCCGTGCCGCCCTGTAGAAGTATATCTACTATAGGGCGGATGGGAAGTGGTTAAAACCAGAAGCATTCATTTATTATATTACAGCTTACCGATTCTTAGCTATGATGGCTGCATTTGTTTTCTTTTTCTGGCTTTCTTTCTTCTTTCATTTGGTGATCTATGCATCCCCACGTGGGCAATCCATTCATGCAAATTAGGACACAGCAGGAACATGGACAGAGCCACTAAGTCCCATAATGACATCTGTTTGGGTGCAGGTGACAGCTCTGAATGCTACATGGGTGTCACATTGGGAGCAGTGGCTGTGTCTGTGCAGCATCTGTGTCCCAATAGACAGCTATGGGATTGCCAGCACGAGGATGAAAGGAACACCTATGCACCTGTGTGCCGGTATCACACTGCCCTGCATCGTCACAGACAGATTTTGGGTGAGGACCTCTCGTGTTCTGAAAGTGGAGCAAAATGCGACAAATGTATGTACCTGACTAGAACTTACACCACTTCTAGAATGCACACAAGACGCTTTCACAAAGAAAAAATAGTTGGAGCCATTTTCTCTCTATACACCAAGCGAGAGCTTTGCTCCCCTTCCCTAAGCTATGAACTGTGGGGATTTATTTGGAATTCAGTGCAGTCATTGCACCACAATGTAAAAGTGGTGCATTCTGGAACAACCTGAATTGGGTGCACGTTTCTGTCAGAACCAAGTGTCTGAAATGCTTCATGAATTTGGCTCAAAACAGTAACAACAGGGATTGACGCCAGAAAAGTGCTGTAGCGGCTTTACTGAACTGACCCCCATAGCGTTTTCTATGTGCGCCACTAGTGACCTGCGCTTATCCAAGTCGGCAGGTGACCACACGTGTGAATGAGCCCTGTGAGGTCATTTATTGGCCGTTTTATAACCTAATGGCAGACATCACAGGTGTGAAGTATTTCGGAGCCCTCATGTATCATTGTGCACTCTACTGTCAGTTATCACGGATATTCATTACTGGTGTTTCATGCACATCATTTATTCAGTTTGTGCGCGTACAAGTACGTTGTAAAACGTAGCACCTTTCCTTTACACCTAAACCGCTACTCTCGGTACTCTCGCAAGTGCGCATGCGTCTTGGGAAAAAAAAGTAAACATCGCGCCTGCGTGGAAGCAATGTTTCCTGTATCTATGGGAACCAGAGTTCGGCCAGCCAGGCGGCGAGATGCGGTTGAAGAGGTTTCTGCTCCGGTATTATCCGCCAGGTGAGGACGGGAGGGTTCAGTAAAAGTGACATAAAGGCTGTATGGCAGGTTGACCGATTTAGTGGTGTATAATATGCAATGTTCAAACATCGGCAGAAGAAGGATTGGAGTCACTGTACCGGGGTGGCCATGGCGCTGGTAGATTGACCCTGTTCCGGTACAATGGGGTCACACATGGGGGCATACATGGTGTCATATATGGGGGCGTACAAGGGGGCATACATGGGGTCATATATGGGGGCGTACAAGGGGGCATACATGGGGTCATATATGGAGGCATACATAGGATCACTCATGGGGTCATACATGGGGATATACATGGGGTCACACATGGGGGTATACATGGGGGCATACATGGGGGCATACATGGGGTCACACGTGGGGGCATACATGGGGTCACACATGGGGGCATACATGGGGTCACACGTGGGGGTATACATGGAGTCACACATGGGGGCATACATGGGGTCATACATGGAGGCATACATGGGGTCATACATGGGGGCATACATGAGGTCACACATGGGGTCATACATGAGGTCACACATGGGGGCATACATGGGGTCACACATGGGGGTATACATGGGGTCACTCATGGGGTCATACATGGAGGCATACATGGGGTCATACATGGGGGCATACATGAGGTCACACATGGGGTTATACATGGGGCATACATAGGGTCACACATGGGGGTATACATGGGGTCACTCATGGGGTCATACATGGGGGTCACACATGGGGTCATACACAGGAGCATACATAGAGTCACACATGGGGTCAGTGTCCACAGATCTGAAGTGGGTTTTTTGCAATAATTCTGCAGGATTTGGGGCACAGAGTGTGCAGAGGTTTGAATTTGGTCCTGTTCAGTGTTAATGGTGGACTCCATCTTAATAAACGCCCCCAGATTAATAAACTCTAAACAGTACATGTATTAAACTTGTGCATGGAAGCCTGCAGAGCACTGCAACCTTGATCAGTGGAGTATTTACTAATAGTATTCTTTGTAAAGAATACCCAATCACATGCAAGGAAGATAAAACAAACAGCGTTTTTGCATGCACATGATTGGATGATGGAAGTCATCAGAGCTTCTGCGCATTTACTAAGCTCTGGAGTAACTGCACTTGCACAGTGAACAGTCTGTCTTTAGCAAATCAACCCCATTTTATGGCTCTTATGCATTAAAATCCTGTTTGACAATTTTATTTCTTGATAAAGTTTCACTTTAAACATTAATGCATCTCTTTTTGGGGACTTTTGAGCCCCGTTCACACATTTTCTGCATCTCTGAACCTTTTGCAGATGCATGAAAATATGGGCTTAACTGTTTGTTGTATTTTAGCTCCTGGGCTCAACAGTTTGATACATTTTAGATCCTGGGCTCAATATTACATTTTGTATCACTCAACCCTTCCTCCTAGATTGTAAGCTCCAATGAGCAGGGCCCTCTGTTTCCTCTTGTACCAAATTGTATTGTAACTGTAATGTCTACCTTCATTCTGTAAAGCGCTGTGCAAGTTGTTGACGCTATATAAATCCTGTATTATAATAATAATAATAATAATAATAACAGTTCAATCTATTTTTAGAACCTGGGTTCAAGTGTTCAATCTATTGTTAGATCTTGGGCTCAACTGTTTGGTATTTTTTTTAGATCCTGGGCTCAACAGTTCATTCCAATTTTAGATCCGTGGTACAACTGTTCAATCTATTTTTTAGATTTTGGGGCTCAATATTATGATCAATCTTAAATACTGGGCTTAGCTGTTTGTTCTATCTTTTGATCCTGGGCTCAACAGTTCAATCTATTTTTAGATCCTAGGCTCACCTGTTTGATCTATTTTTAAATGCTGGACTCAACTGTTCAATCTATTTTTAGATCCTGGGCTCAACTGTTCAATCTCTTTTTAAATCCTGGGCTCAACAATTTGATCTGTTTTTAGATCATTGGTTCAACTGTTTAATCTATGTTTAAATCTAGCTCAACTGTTTCCATCAATTTTTAGATCTTCGGTTCAACTGTGATAATTTTATTCAGATCCTGGGCTCAACCGTTTGATCTATTTTTAGACCATTGGTTCAGCTGTTTGATCTATGTTTAAATTTGGCTCAACTGTTTGATCTATTTTTAGATCTTGGGCTCAATAGTATGATTGGTTTTGAATACTGGGCACAACTGTTTGTTCTGTTTTTATATTCTGGACTCAACTGTTAAATCTATATTTAGATCATGGGATCAACCATTTGATTTATTTTTAGATCATGGGCTCAAACATTCAAGCTATATTTAGATCTTGGGCTTAACTGTTTATTCTATTTTTAGATCTTGGGCTTAACAGGTTGATCTATGTTTAGATCCTGGGCTCAACTGTTCAATCTATTTTTAGATCTTGGGCTCCACTGTTCACTTTTTTTTTTATCCTGGGTTAACCATTCAATCTATTTTTAGATCTTGGGCTTAAGTGGTTGATCTAATTTTAGATCCTGGACTCAACAGTTCAGTCTATTTTTAGATACTGAGTTCATCTGTTCGATCTTGAGGTCAACTGTTTAAAGGGACGCTAAATTTAGGGGCACTACCACTGATTTTTTTGGCTACATTTTACCATGGAATTATCAGGGAGATTTAATATTAGTTATCTCCAGACTTAAAAAGCCAAGCAATTGTCTTAGAAATTGCCATTTCCTAAAACCTTCTATCCAGCATAGTGATGTTCCAGAGCTTCCCTGCCAGCCACTGTGATCTTTGGCAACATCAGCTTCCGGGTACTGATACTCGGCCACTTTCATTGGCCCATCCAAGATGATGTCACTCCCATTCATTCATATTAGCAATACAGGGCATACAGGTAGGTAATGGAACTTTAATGCAGGAGAGCTGTGGGGTTGATTTACTAAAGGCAAATAGACTGTGCAGTTTGGCAGTGCAGTTGCACTCTGCAAGTGTAGTTTCTCCAGAGTTTAGCAAATGAGGTAAAGCTTCATTTTGTAAAGAAGACATAATCACATGCAAGGAACATAAAGAAAACAGCATTTTGCTTGCACATGATTGGATGATGGGAGTTAGCAGCACTCTCACTCATTTACTAAGCTCTGGAGCAATTGCAGTTGCAGAGAGCACACTCTGTCTGTCTTTTAGTAAATCAACCCCTGTGTGTGGAGGATGCAGCATACAGGCTCCTGCATGGTTGACATTCCAGCAGAGGTAAGGACCTACCATCATGAGCATGGAGGAAGTCAACAATAAACTACTTCACTGCACTTGTTCCGGTGAGATCTGAGTCTCCCTGCTGTGATGGCAAATGGGACTTGTAGTCTTTCCATTCACAGATCCTACACAACTGTAATAAATTTAAATATCCATAGGATGTTGTAGGAATAAGCATTACGGTAATTGGGGGGAATTTTGATGGTGTGGGTTGGGGAATGGAACCATGTTTCATGTTAAACCTAAAATATAAGTGCAATATAAGTAGAATTCCTGGATAACCCTAACTAATCTTAAAGTGATTGTAAGGTAAATGTTTTAAAAGATAACAAACGTCAAACTTACCTGCTCTGTGCAGTGGTATTGCACAGAGCCATCCCAACCTCCTTTTCTGGGTTCCCCCACCAGTGCTGTCCACTCTTCTCTATCTACCCCCATAGCAAACTGCTTGGCAGGCAAGCAGGCTTGAACTTGAGTTGAGCTGTGTATGTCCAAAAACACACACACACACACACACACACACACACACACACACACACACAGCAGCTCATCCTCGCCCTCCCTGCTCCCTCCTCACATGCTCTGAGTGACAGCTGCAGGAGCCAATGGCTCCTGCTGCTGTCACGCTTTCTGTGAGAAGAGAAAGAGGGAGAAGAGCTGCTACAGACGGAACAGTGTTGAATCGAGATTGGGGAGAAGAGTTGCTGCAGACAGGCACAGTGCTGGATTGAGATTGGGCTCAGGGAAGTGTTTTAAGGGAGGGAGCAACTTTTGAAAGTTTTTTACCTTAATGCAGAGAATGTGTTATGGTAAAAAAAACCTTTTTGCCTTTATAGCCATTTTAAAAACACTCTGTCCTCCCTCCTAACACTGATCCTAACTAACCTTCGCAAGAAAGATTTATATACTTGCCTATTTTCTGGCCGCTCCGGTCTCGTCACATGGTCTCATTCATTTTCCCTTAAGCCACCACTGGCTGAGAACAGGTGAGCCGATCATGTGACCGAACTGGAGTGGCCTGAAAATAGGTAAGTATATACATCTTTCTTTCACAGCTTAGTTAGTATAGGTGTTAGGAGGGGGAAGGGACATTTTTAAGATTAATTAGAGTTACCCTGGAATTCTACTTCAAAGTGGTTTTAAAAGTAGAAAGCATTTTACTTTAAAGCTAGGTTCACACATTTCCCGCACCACATTGCAATCGCATTGTGTTTTGTAATCTGCTGCATGTGTCAAGGACAGCCCCTGAGATTTTGGCACCTCCTCCAGCAGGAACAAGAAACACATCACCAAAAGTACTTTTCTTCCACCCACACTTTTACCTAACATGAGAGCAGCAATAGTGTTCTCTGCTAGATTGCCCTCCAGGTCCCCTCCTTAGTTCATGAAGGAGATGGCTGGGTTCCTTTTCTCCTTCTGTGCCTGGCTATGTCTGGAGGGGGGCACACTTCTTTGACAGGGACCAACACAGGCAGAGTGTGTGCACTATCTGCACTTTAGGGCACTTTTTGGTGGGGCTCACATGGTTTCTACAAAAATATATATAATATATGGTATGGTGACAGCATTGGGATTGCCAGATATTTTTGGGTGTCCTTTTGAGTGCTTGTTGAGGGCTGCGCTGGGAAGCCTTGCCCAACAAAGTCCTAACTCATAGACAAGGCAAATTGCCTTGTGTCCTATGTGATCAGTCCACACCACTATGATGTAGTGATGTGTGCTGAAATAAAATGAGGTGTGCACTGGGGAACAATGCAAAAGAGAAAGGATAAGTAAGAGTGATGCAACAATGCAACCAAGATGCCCGAGTGCCCCAGGTATTTTTAGATGCTTCCATCTCCCCTTCATAGAGGTGAGCAGATGTTAGTACTTAAATGTGGAAATCTACAGGGTCTGTTATAGGTATAAAAGAAAAGTGAGTTTGAGGAGTTTACCATGCAACTGAAGTAGGGCCCCACTGCACAGATCCCCTTAAATTTTTGTTTGTGAGGCCCTGATACCAGTGCTGGGACAAGGTAATGCAGCGCCTAGGGCAAAGATGCCAAACTGCCAACTCAACACCCCCCCGTTTATGATGTACAAGTTTAGGGGATCTGCTCCTCCCAGCTCTCTCCTCGCTGATCCCAGGAGCAGTGATGCCGCTGTCACTACTCAGCTTTGTAACGGAAGGAATTCAGCACAGTGTGTCTCCACCCCTGCAATAAACTGCTGCGCTGAGCTGCCTCTTTTGCCTACCCTTGTCCTGGCCCTGCCTGTTACACATAGTTATTGCCCTGGTTAACCCAACAGTATGCACTGAAATTTAAACAGTTTATTTTTGGTTTGATAGCCCCTTTAACATAAATGAAATCACATTGCGTGGTTGTGAGGCCCACACGCTAGACAGATCAGAAATGTTTTTGTCTATGATGCACACAGGCTCAGAGCAGCAAGGATTCCATTCATCGGGGACATATGCTCTCTGCTGATTAATCACGAAAGTCTGTTGTTTGTTGAACAGCTGATTCCTAGACAGCATAAAAGCACAGAGGAATATATACGATGCAAACATTTTGTGAGATGTAAAATAATGACTAATAATAACTTTTTTTGGGGGGGTTATTTCTTCAGGGATCATTTTGGAGTATGAAAGAGGTGGAGAGCTGAAGACCAAGTCTATTGATTTACTGGAACTTTCTCCTGAGTAAGTCTTCCCGCCTTAGTCCATCTCTTCACCCAGATGTATCTTTTGTCAGCATTGTTTTATAGTGTAAATACACATATTTGTAGGGGAATGGGATGAAATCTCGCCAGACAAACAAAATTGCTGCCATAGAAACAGTTACAGATAGGGCATCTGTGGTCACTTTCAGACAAGACTTAGCGACGTGATTCCTTATGGCCCATTAGTTCTTCACTTTATCTTCTTTTCAGTGTCATATGCACTACCATTTCCAAAAAACTACAGCAAAGTATGGCCAACTGTACGAATTAAAGCGGTATTAAACTCCAAAAACATAAATGTTTAATATTGCAGCACAGAATCACATTCCACAGTAATTATTTGAATATCAGCACACACACCTAGGGATTGTTCTAATTGTTGCATCTCTCACCCGGTGCTTTACTCTGATATACACATACAAAAACAATCATAGTTTTAGCAATCACCCCCTCCTATTCTTTATACAGCACTATTCACTCAAGTTTGTATGTCCATACACACAGAGTAACTACTGTCTTTGCAAAAATAACTATATTCTTTCACACCATACTGTACATGAAAAAATAATTGCAACACATTGCAGATAGATGAGTATTGATGTACATCTAACATGCATTTGCATGCACATTGCATTGTGTTATGTTGCATTTTTATGCACATTGGAATCCATTTTCATGTCTTCTGTTGCAAAGTGACAATTAAAAATTTATTTTTTATATCTTTACTTTAAGTTGCATTGCATTTACATGCATTCATGTGTTGCATTGCATTAAAATGCACACAGGTTACATTTGAATGCAATGCACTGTGACGCACATGTACAAAACATTGTGATGTGAAAAAGGCAAATAACCATAGTTTTCAAAGAGAGGTTGTTTTACTACAGGCAAAAAGTCTTTGAGGGTAAGCTCTGCTGACCAGTCATGTGCAAACAAAATGCATTTTGTTTTATTTTCCCTGCATGTTATTGGGTATTCTTTGCAAAGTGAAGCTTCACCTCATTTACTGAGCTCTGAGCAAATTCCACTGCAAAGTGCACAGAATATTTGCCTTTAGTAAATCAATCACAGTGGGTGTTATTTACTAAAACCAGAGAGTGCAAAATCTGGTGCATCTCTGCATAGAAACCAATCAGCTTCCAGGTTTTATTTGTCAAAGCTTAATTGAACAAACTGAAGTTAGAAGCTGATTGGCTACCATGCACAGCTGCACCAGATTCTGAGTGCTCTAATTTTAGTAAATCTCCCCTAGTGTGTCCTTGCATTGACCTGTGTCAATCCTGTGCTGAAAAGTGCAAGTCACTGCACACTGTGAAAAAGCCTTAAAAGCGCCACATATTTGTTAACATTTTCCATGTGTAGAAATGTTCATATCCTTTGTACAAGACTAATTTGCTTACATTTGCATTTTCCATTAACCTCTTCCCTACTGCGCTTTAGCTGAAAGACGGATACAGCGCGGTTGTCTAGTTCTAGGAGGACATCCATGGATGTCCTCCCAGAACACACCCAGCTGATCACGTGATATGGTAAACGGCCAATCACAGCAGCCTTTTACCACATGATCAGCTGTGTCCAATGACACAGAAGATCACCGGGTAAATACAGTTGCCGGTTATCGGCTGCACTTTCCTCACGCTGTCACAGTGTGAGGAAAGTACTGCTGATAGCCGGCAATTGTCAGAGAAGTGATTGGCACTGATCATCAGGGCACTGATGATCATTGCCCAGCAGTGCCGCCCACCTGTGCCACCCACCTGTGCCCATCAGTGCCACCCACCTGTGCCCTGCAGTGCCACCCACCTCTGCCCAGCAGTGTCTAGCAGTGCCACCCGCCTGTGCCCAGCAGTGCCACCCATCAGTGCTGCCCAGCAGTGCTGCCAGTCAGTGCCACCCATCAGTGCCATCTATCAGTGCCCATCAGTGCCGCCTATCAGTGTAGCATCATCAGTGCTGCATATAAATGCCACATATCAGTGCCTCCTATCAGTGCCCATCAGTGCTGCCTATCCGTGACCATCAGTGCTGCTTATCAGTGCCCATCAGTGCTGCTTATCAGTGCAGCCTCATCAATGCATATCGGTGAAGGAGAAAAATTACCTGTTTGCAAAATTTTATAATAGAAACAAAGAAAAACGTTTTGCTATTTTTTTTGTTTTATAGCGCAAAAAATAAACCCGCCCAGTGGTGATTAAATACCACCAAAAGAAAGCACTATTTGTGTGAAAAAAATGATAAAAATTTCATATGGGTACAGTGTTGCATGACCGCGCAATTGTCATTCAAAGTGCAACAGCACTGAAAGCTGAAAATTGGCCTGGGCAGGAAGGGGGTATAAGTGCCCTGTAGGCTAGTGGTTAACACTGTTAAAATGATTGTCATTGGTAAATTTTCTTGTTTTAATACAAAGATGGCTTATTACTTTTTTCACTGTGTAAAGCACTAATGTGGATCTGCTGGTGGATGAAATACAGAAAGCTGAGCCTCTCATTACTGCCTCCCCCAGTACCTCAGCAAGTAAAACAACTCTAAGTTTTACTAAGATTGCAAGAAAAAATAGGACAACAAGACCACCAACATTTCGATTACGTTTTATCTGTTCAAGGTAAGGCCCCTTGGTTTTGTTTTTTGAACACCAGTGATGAGCTTGTTGTGTGATGGGTTATGCCTCTGACCTGCATGGTAACATTTTCATGCTGAAATAAAATATATTTTTCATGTACAACATTTCGATTAAAGTAAATCACTAAATCTCTACAATGCATGCTCATTTCCGTATTATTTTGTTTCTTTAAAAATTATGCAAGTACAAAAATATGCCTATCTATCCTGCCAGAAATCCACTGAGCTCCTAACTTCCTGTTGTGGGCTAATGATACTGCTAGATTAAAATCCCAATAAGTTTTATTAGTCTTGCCCAGTTCACCTGTATGGTGAAACCCCAAATTCCTGAAATGAGGGGAGGGGGCAGTATTCTGTAATCTAATCCAGGACTGTAGCCTAGGGTGATAACACTGCCTATGCATATATTCAGTAGTAAGTGTTGTCAGCCTAGGACAGGAATTGAGGTACTGGCAGATTACTTAAAGGAAAAAAATCCAGAAAAAAAATGAATGCAGCCACCACATCTAAGTATTTTAGTGCTGCAATATAATTCATTAATATTGCACATTTCACCCCCCTAGCTAGCCAAATTTAACTTAACTACCCCCTTCCACATCTGCTCACGTAGCTGAGCCTGGTTAGAAGCTTATATTCTACAGTCTAATTGTTTCTCACCACCTATTGCACATGTACTGTGAGCTCCCTTGGACTTTTTTGGAGCTGTCTCCCAAAACTGGAGATGCCTATATATGAAAAACACTCTAAACTGGCCATACACCATTAAATCTTCAATGTTCAAAAACGTTTGCTTTGGGAACGTTCACTTGATTTTCTAATGATTAGTGACATCAAACTGACGTTCATTTTTGACCGTAGTGATGAGAAAACTCAAAAAGAGCAGGATGGAAATTTCAACTGTGAATGTGGTTTTTGTTTGGGAAAAATCGTACATATTGTAACAAAACCTATTGTATCTGGGATTCCATTAATATAGCAGGTCTGGATTAAATTCTAAGGGTTTTCACAGGCTCTAAGGGCTTTTTTTTGTTTAGCTTGCAGGTTGATTATCCCATCCATTTCCAGTGCACAACGTTGCATGATCCCTTAGATTTAAAGCTCAACTCCGGGTTGGTCAACCCTTGACAGATCTCCTTTATAACTGTTTTATTTTAATTGTGCATACATACCTTTTTTACCTTTTTTTTATGGAGTCTTCTATCCAGTCCTGTGAGGTCACAGATCCTTTTGCTCTTTCTTTAATGGTGACGTGTACAAATATAGTCAGAAGAGGGAGCTGTTGTCTCATAAATAGCTAACCATTGCACTTCAAGAAGGAATTTAATTCTTTCTAAAAGGATGGATAGCAAAAAAAAAAACCCCAAAAACGAATGTTTTCACTAATATCTTAATTATCTCAGCTACAGGGAAAGCTTTATAAGTGGTTACATTATTACTTTAGCCGTCTGTACATATGCTTATGACTTCTCTTCTGGTCTGTTACTTTTGGGAGCCTCCTAGCCCTTTCTTGGTTACATTTCTACATTTGTGATGCATGTTGCTGCATTTATTTATGCATGTTTTGTGCAGTTTTAACACATCATTTTCTTTTATACATTATGCAATGTACAAAATAGGAAAGGCCAGGTATCCGTTCTGTGCAAATATATGGCAGTGTATTTTATGTTTCATGTATATTATTACAGAGAAGTGTTTGTAGTTTGTGTCTGTTTTGTAACTGTGCTGGAATGGTAAAATTCAGGATCTGCAGTGATACATCATTAAAGTCCTACAGATAAAGATGAATAAAAAAGAAAGGAGCTTTGTGACATGGGTGAGATAATGAGATGAAGGGAAGAATCTGGTTACATGGACAGTATGGGAAACGTAAAGTAAAAGAGCTAAAAAAGGAGGGATTTATACGTCAAAGAATAACCAATAATCGATGAAAAGTGTAAAGGTATCACCCTAGAGAAAGGTCAGTGAACAGTGACACACTGAGAATAAAGGGCAGACATTGATGGAAACACAAAGTATAGTAATACACTAAGAGGTTGTTTTACTAAAACTGGAGAGCGCAAAATCTGGTGCATCTCTGCATAGGAACCAATCGGCTTCCAGTTTTTATTGTCAAACCTTAATTGAACAAGCTGAAGTTAGAAGCTAGTAGTATGTGGTTCAGCAAGCGCTAACGGGTGACAGCAGCTGATACACTAAAAAGGGAAACCATAAAACCTTCAAAATTATATAAACGTAAATAGTGCAGCACTAGAGATAAAGTGTATGGGCATACCTGTAATATCATATGGGAAATATCACAGTTGTGTCTCAAATTACAAAACAACACAGTATATCAAATTCCTTAAAAATTATAGCAATGGTGAAGTTATAACAAAACACTTTCACTAATATTTGTAATATAACACACAGTGCAAATGATAGTCCAGAATATCTGATGGTGATGAAACCACGATTAGACTCAAAAAGGTGACTTGATATAATCCCAGTGACAGCTGTGATCCAGTGCCGTGCAGAAATAATAGGTAAATTGCACACTCACCAGAGGTGCAATAAAACCGCGCATTTGTGTCATATACACCAGAGGTCCCTTCAGTTACGGATGGAGCGTAGCCTGGAATGGATGACTCCGCGATGAATGGTAAAGCATCTGGGGGTCCCTTTAATGAGCCTGGCTAGAGACGGGATCTGCTGATTACAGCTCTCCTCTGGGCCCTGGGATGGTCACCTGGTGGTCCTGGGGGATTAAATGCTCGAAATAGAGCAGAAAAAAGTACCCATAGTGTAGTATTTAGGTCAAGCTAAGAATGAATTTATTGAAGATTAAAACAAAAAAGACACACTTTCTTAGGTACTGTAGTAAAAAACAATCCTCGTGCACAAAGGATGTTATATAATTGAATGCAGCATAACACCCGACCAGCTGGTAAAAGTGGGTGGCCGCCGGACCTCCCTGATCCAGAGGCTTGACGTCACGGCTAGGAGGTCAGGGAGGTCCGGCGGCCACCCACTTTACCAGCTGGTCGTGTTAACAGCTGCATTCAATTATATAATCACCATCAGATTTGCACAAGAATTGTGAAAGTTTTTTATAACTTACCATTGTATAATTTTTAAGGACTAAGAAAGAGACACATCTGTGTATTTTTCCATTATGTTTTACATCTTCAATCTCTAACTATTTACATTCTTAGAAGCTTGATGCCAAATTTTGCACTCCAGTTTTTACACTTACTGGTTATATAAAATAATAAAGGAATTACAGCAATGGAATAAAAAACTAGTTTAAACTGAGACAGCCTTGTAGCCCTTATTCACCCCTGGGGAATATTACTGGGCATGTAACAGTGAAAAAATAAGAATAGTTAAGAGGAATGTGACACATTATATTGTATATTTGACACCTGCTTTACTTATTTTCAGTAATAATAATGGTGACAGTTGAAAAGTGCTCCCACATATTGGTGGTCTTAAAGGAAGACACTTCTTTGATTGCTAGTTATTGAAATGATCCCTTATATTGGTGATCAGTAAAGAAATTTCCACTTGTTTTAATGTTCAGTGAAAAACTGCCCCCATATATCGGTGGTCTTAGGAAAAGAGACTTGTTTAGATTGGTCAGTGAAAAGCTCCTCTACATTGGTGGTCAGTGGAGAAGGGCCTACTTACATTGGTGGTCAGTGTGAAGAATGTTTCCAGTACAGATAGCTAAACAGATCATTGGTTACTAATTTTACTAATTGAAGAGGCAGAAATTGCTGTTTGCTCAAGGAACCCCTTTGGAGGAACTTTAGGGTTCCACCGAACCCTGGTTGAGAAAAGCTTGATTAATAGAACAGATCACCTCAACAAAATGGAGATACGGTGTTCATATAGAGGTAACAGAGATACAGTATCTCACAGAAGTGAGTACACCCCTCACATTTTTGTAAATCTTTTATTCTATCTTTTCATGTGACAACATGAAGAAATGACACTTTGCTACAATGTAAAGTAGTGAGTGTACAGCTTGTATAACAGTGTAAATTTGCTGTCCCCTCAAAATAACTCAACACACAGCCATTAATGTCTAAACCGCTGGCAACAAAAGTGAGTACACCCCCCTAAGTGAAAATTACCAAATTGGGCCCAATTAACCATTTTCTCTCCCCGGTGTCATGTGACTCGTTAGTATTACAAGGTCTCAGGTGTGTATGAGGAGCAGGTGTGTTAAATATGGTGTTATCGCTCTCACTCTCTCATACTGGTCACTGGAAGTTCAACATGGCACTTCATGGCAAAGAACTCTCTGAGGATCTGAAAAAAATATTTGTTGCTCTACATGAAGATGGCCTAGGCTATAAGAAGATTGCCAAGACCCTGAAACTGAGCTGCAGCACGGTGGCCAAGACCATACAGCGGGTTAACAGGACAGGTTCCACTCAGAACAGGCCTCGCCATGGTCGACCAAAGAGTTTGAGTGCACATGCTCAGCATCATATCCAGAGGTTGTCTTTGGTAAATAGACGTATGAGTGCTGCCAGCATTGCTGCAGAGCTTGAAGGGGTGGGGGTCAGCCTGTCAGTGCTCAGAGCATACACCGCCTTCTGCATTAAATTGGTCTTCATGGCTGTTGTCCCAGAAGGAAGCCTCTTCTAATGATGAAGCACAAGAAAGCTCGCAAACAGTTTGGTGAAGACAAGCAGACTAAGGACATGGATTACTGGAACCATGTCCTGTGGTCTGATGAGACCAAGATAAAATGTATTTGGTTCAGATGGTGTCAAACGTGTGTGGCGGCAACCAGGTGAGGAGTACAAAGACAAGTGAGTGTCATGGTCTGGGGCTGCATGAGTGCTGCCGGCACTGGAGAGATACAGTTCATTGAGGGAACCATGAATACCAGTATGTACTGTGACATATTGAAGCAGAGCATGATCCCTTCCCTTCGGAGACTGGGCTGCAGGGCAGTATTCCAACATGTTACGTCCCCAAACACACCTCCAA